GCCCTGAAAGCAGTCGATTAATCATATCAGAAAGTTGTCGGCTTCGAAATCAATTAATATATAATTACCTCGAAGTCTAATCAAAAAGTGGTCTTGAGCACAATTGTAGCTGATTAAACTTCACATATGACCAGATAGCTTAGAACGTTTAGAACGTAAAGTACTGTTCTCCCTAAGTAATTCCCAAATAAACTTCAAAGTGCCAGTGCAGTATGGGTTGGCATCCAAATGAGCTCCAATTTTGGGAGAATTAATAGGACCAGATTCGAAATCGATTGAGCTTGGTGGAGCAAATTTGATATTTGAACCACCCTAGTGAACATACCTTAAAAAATAAATAAATCAGCATTGAGAAACCATTACAGTCTTTGAATCTTGATTTACACTCCTGATCATAAGTTTAAGGACACCCCCAAAAAAACATGACAAATTTGTTATGTTCATATCTTTGTCATGTTACGTCCAATTTTCATTCTCTTTAGATCATTTGGAAGGTATTGAATGGAACATTCCTCGTAGGCAAATTGTTCAATATTATTTTCAAATTTTATGTGCTAAAAGTTCACCCAAAGTTACAATATTTTTCAAAATTTACTCTGAAGAATCGGGACTGATTTTCTCAGAACTGGGTTGGCCAAATTTTGAAATAAAAGTAGTAGTAGAACACTTATGCTATACCATTCATACCATTCAAATAACCTTTGGAGATCGAAAATTGAACGTAAAATGAGAGATCATTGAAGAAAACATATTTGCATGGTTTTTTTTTTGGGGTGTCCTTAAACTTATGATCGGTAGTGTTCTATTGGAATATTTCTCAGCAGTATTCTTCAAAAAGTTAGTTGAAGATGCTAATTTCAAATAACAGACTGTAGTGGTAATTTTTATACGATAGATGGAGTAGATGAAAGCATAGAGTTGATAGTTCCGTTAGAGTACGGCAGTGTGAAGATTGTATATAGATATTAGAATAGCGAACTAGGACAACTTTTAAGGAAGGTACAAATCGGTTTTTTCATCTCTCTTTACCAAACTCCCCCTTTGGAGAGGGATGGTGAGGGGTGTCCCCCCCCCCCCTTGCCACCTTCCTTAAAAGTTGTCCTAGTTCGCTATTCTAATATCTATATACAATCTTCACACTGCCGTACTCTAACGGAACTATCAACTCTATGCTTTCATCTACTCCATCTATCGTATAAAAATTACCACTACAGTCTGTTATTTGAAATTAGCATCTTCAACTATGTAAATCGTTGACTTCACGTAGAAGTAATACTAAAAACATATAGTCAAAGTTCAAAAACTTCTTTGAAACTACGTCTGCTTTTTTTGATTTCTGCTTCTAACACTCTGGAAGCTAAATTCACTGGTTTTATGTGACCCAACTTTACCTCCCCTTTCTGTATCTTACAAATAGAAAACATCGTTATAAAATCTCATAGTTTCATAATTCCTAATATTAACATTTTAGCTGTAATGAGCAATTGCAAACCTGTAGTGGAGAACTTTTCCTACCTTTTCATTATGTTGGCTTGCCTTTGCGGACTTCGGATCGCGAGAAAATGGTTGTAAGGTTTGTTTACAAAATGGAGTTAAGGCCATTTCAATTGTTGGCCTTGATATGACATATTTCAATAGTTCATATGTACAGTAGCGCCGCGTAGTGATTAAATTTTCAACTGACCTGTCTCTACATAAGGCCTTGATTGGCTGATCATCTTTTCCGAAAACATCGATTTTCCAAATGGATCATGAGATATTGCACATTTTGAAATTTATCATGTACACTTGCGCCACTTAGTGGTAGAATTATGAACTTATCTTCTTTGAAAGATTTGTTGAATAAGACTTCTCTTTGAAAGATTTGTTGAATCAGATTTCTTTTAAAAGGCTTTCTCAGTCTAGGGTAATCCAAACAGTCAGTTTGGACGTATCGAAATAAATATTCCAACTCAATTTGCAGATAATTATTTTTTGGAGATTCAGATGCCGTATCATGAAAAAATAACGGCTATTGGATTTTCGGGCTAGTGACCCATTTGGCCTAATCTGCCGCTCATCGTAAGTCGGTCCCATTGGCAGTTTTTGTCAAAATTGAGTTTTTACGTGGCAATGGTAACCAGTCACCTATATTTTCATAACACTAGATGAACACAACAACGTTGTGCTGAGAAAGTTTGGAAAAACAGCCAAACCGGTAGTACCAGCATATAAGAAGTAATGGTACAAAGCAAACTTAATACTCATTTTTCACGGCTTGCTGATTTGTGCTATGGGACCAGCGTTTCTAGGTCATTTTCAGAAAAATCTGTACCAGTCAAAATATAAAATCTGGATAAAACTGAAATGCTCTAAAAAATCCTGTTTTTAACATTATGCTTTTGAAATCAAAGTGATGTGCCAATATCCCGTAAAAATCGATCAGTATGATCATCTTGAACTTATCTAAAGTATACCAGAGTGTTCATGAATTCCATGTTTAAGCAAATATTTAAAGCAAATCATCCAAAAGTAAGGAAAAGTATTGACACAGTGTACCCAAAAAGTTTAAATATCCATTACGCAGAGAATATTTTTAGGATTCTGAAGCAGCAAAGATTCAGGCAACTTTGATGGGTTGATATTTTTTTAACTAATAGTCGATTTATTCCTTAATATTTGATGCAGTATCAGAATATGTTATTAGTTTTAAATAATTGTACTCTGCGATTGATCAGACTTCAAATTTAATTCATGACATCATACAACTCAAAATACTCGGTAGACCAGTAGGCAACTTTATTTTTAACCTACAATTCTCCTGCCTGAAGTGATAATCAAAGCCTAATATCGTGGTACTCATACACAGTTTACCTAAACTACGGGTTACTCCACATGGCCATTACAAGTAATGTTATGCCAAAGAATAATATTATTATATAACTTAAATGAAAGTCTGAAAGCGTTATTTTTTAAGTCTCAGGATCTTGAAATGAATCTTAATTCTGGAATTTATATTTTCATGAAATTTTTTGTTCGTCTGAATTTACTTCATTTACAGAGTTCAATTTGAATCATCCTAGAACATCATCACACTTCTATTCTGGATTCTATTAAATTAATCTTGATAATATCCAAACTTTTTCAGTAACATTCTAAGAGTGCTTAGCATTATCTCTTGTAATTTCTTATAAATCGCTTTCTGATTCACAATTCCCTCAAACTGGTAATAATTTCCAAGAATTTTCATAATTTTGTCACATTTTTTCTCTATGAAATTCCCTTAGAATAGTCTTTAAAAATTCTTTGGTACGCCCTTCAGAATGACCGTCACATTCTTCTCAGACTTATCCTTTGAACTGCTTTGTAGGTAAGATCAGAATTGTTTTGAAATCCTCTTCAGTATTTTCTAAGTACTCAAGTACTTTGCCAAACAGGCCTTGAAAGTCTCCCATAAATTGCCAGATTTCTAAAAAAAATGATAAAAATTAATCTCCATAGAAACATTGGACAGAATTCCATTGAAATTATTCTCACTATTCGTATTCCCCTTAAGTGTCATTTTAAGAGTTTTCTATGATTTCTCTAACGAATTCTAACTATTTCCTTTCTTGACAAAATCTCCATACAATTGTCATCAGAGTTTGCTAAAGACAATTCATACACTTCACTGTAAACTATTTTCAGAATTGCCTTAAAGTTCTGAAATCTAGGGCAATTCAGAATTCTAAAGTATTTCAGACTGCTAAGGTAACTCAATATTCACAGGTACTGTAAACTCTGAGATCGACTCAAAATTAAGTTGAATTGGACTCAATTTAACAAAAACGGGATTTGCTCATAACGTGAGTAAAATTTTACGAGCGATTCCAGAAAAAGCTTCTCTAATATGGGGAAAATTGAGTGAGGTTTCACTAAGTCTATTAATGTGCTCCTGGACTGAGTAAATTTTTTGTAAATTTTCTTCATACACGGCCAATGAGAACGACCCAAATTTTAGTTTTGTTTTCTCATAATAGCAAAAAGTGCAGGAACTCAACGATGAATAAATTTGCCTAATGTTTTCCAGTGGAAAACCTCCAAAATGTGCAGGAAAATGAGGAAAATTTACGGAAATTTTACTCAGTCTAGGAGTAGTACTAATAGACGGAGTGAATCCCATCTTTACTTTTCTCATATTCAGGATTTTCATCGTGGACAAACCAGGAAAAGCTGGTAAAAACATGAGCCAAATTTATTCATCGCTGAGTTCCTGCACTTTATGCGATTTATGAATCAAATTTGGGTCGTTCTCATTGGACGTGTATGATACTGAAATGATGAGGTATTGCGGCCACTTGTGTGGGCTTATCCTCCCAATAAAGAATGAAGAACATAGTTTTCCTGGAAAAGCTCAGTCGAATTCAACTCAATTAGAGTCGATCTCATGGTCCGTGTATCGGTGCAACGACTAAATCACGCAAAGTAATACCATCGGATAGATGAGACAATCCCTCATCTATTGGTAATGTCGATTTAAGTGATGGAGTTGTTGTTTACGAGCAATCAACGACAGAAGTGAAAAATGCCAGATACAGCTATATCGAGGTATGCTCATACCACAAAATAAATCTGCCTCATATTGTAAACAATTTTACATTTTTCTGTTGATATACATTTATGATAAGATTTTCCGTCCTTTTGACCGTTTAGTGCATCTCATAATAACCTTCTTCCGCCAAACTGCAACAGTAGCAGCAGAAGCAGCAGCAGCAGCATCATTTCTTCCACCCATTTATTTTTCCGCCCCATCAGATGATACAGCATCACGATGCCATAATAAAATACTGCTGCAGCAAACCCGAACCGGAAAAAGAACCGAAAGAAAAGTGTGCCGTCCTTGTCCGTCCCGTGTGTGCATTCTCCATTCCGCTTGCCTGGTTTGCTTCCACCTCACTCGTCTACTTATTTACTTAAATAAGTTTTCCATTTTCTTTCGTTTCCATCCACATCCTCCCACATCGCAACAACATCGCTATCAGCTGAAAGTCATCAGCAGCAACTGCAGCACCGGTCGCGTCAGACTGTAAATCAAACGAAAAGCATCTTCCACCAACCTCCGGCGGCGACCAACGGCAGTAATAACAACACGACCAGCAGTGTTGCCAGCTCGGTGGCGTTGAACGGTGGCACCGCGGAAGAAAGTGTCAAAGTGAGTGCCCTGATCGAAGTGCATCAGCAGAAGCAGCGGGAGCTGATTCGGCAGGACAGTTACAAAGCGGCGGTAAGAAGTGTTGCAAGTTCGGCGGAGAACCTCTCCAAGCTAGAAGCGAAGGAAGAGGAAGAACCGCCCGCTCCGGTGTCCGTTAGTGCCAAGTGTCAAGAGTTTGAACGTAGGCTTCAGCGTAGTGCTAGTTGTGATGGTCGAAAGCCGGATGCCAGCAAGCAACCGCAGCAGAATGGCTCGTCTAGCTTGAAAATTTGTGCCAGTGCTGCCGGTCAGCCAGGGGTCAAACATGCTGCTACTGGTGGTGGATCAACGGCAGCTGATGGCCGAAGCCGCATCGGTAGCTATTCTGATGATGAGTGTGCTCTTCTGGGTGACCGTAGTGTCTTGACGAAGCGTAACCCTGCGTGTAACACACTGACCAATGCGGGTGACAGTGCTAGTAACATTAATCAGAATAATCATACTACCACCGGTAGCAACAACAATCGGAGAAGCTTCTCCGAAGCTGATCTGCTGCATGAAATTGACCGGGCGCTAGTGCTTGCTAAAGATTTCTTGTTTTCTAGGGGTAATGTAGCGTTTTTTGCTTTGTCTGTGTGGTTTTAAATGTTGATTGATTTTTTGGTATAACATAATTTACATTGGAAAAGTCAACAGCCTTTTCGTTCAGTGTCGTGTTTCGTTCATTGATTTTTTTTTTGCGGCGTGAAATTGCTTCTTAACCATAAATCGCAGCTTCTAATCCATTTAAGGCTTTGATGACAAGATATCATCTTTCTATATGAAGGTGGTAGAGAAGAAAGCAAAGCATTCTCCATTTCCCAGACAGAGCGATGAATATTTGGGAAAACAAATAAATCTTCCTGGAGGTGTTGTTGGTTGCAGGTTTGTGTTCGCTTCACGAAAACAACATGATTTTTTTTCAAACTTCTCCCAAAGGACGTTCAATCATTTCGCCGATTGACCAGAGATGATGTTCGCAGAGCTCTTAGATTGGTCAAACAGCGGCCGCAAATCGATAGATCGAATCGGGGGGTGGGCGTTTTGTCTGACTTTCGGCTACTGCTGCGATAAATTCGCTTGAAACCCTTGCCACCCCTTCGCCACGGGGCAACACGAGCCAGACAAAAACCAAATTAAGAGCGCGAGAACAACTCTAGCCGTACGACGCGACTTGCGGGGATATTTATAAATAATGTATTCCCACCCACCTACACACACGCGGCACGACTCGACAGTCGACTGCACAGCGAGGCAAGGTGGATGCTCGTTGATGGTCCTCCCCTTGTTGTGCGATGTCGCGAAAGGTGCGTAACGATTCTTGCGTTACGTGTAAAGTGTGGCGACTGGGCGGGGAAGGAGCCCGAAAGATTTAATTGCGATTTAAGTTGGTCGCGGGCCCGATTTCAAGACTTGCGAACGCGACGAGTGTTTCGCGTTTTATTTTGGCTAGTTAAATCGGACGGAGATGAATCACGGGGTCGGTTTGTGTAACTGTGCGATAATTGAGTGCATGCTTTGTGATCTAAATTTCAAGGTCAACGGTAATGTTTCTATATGACTTGTTGCACTTTGCAACATTTGACCAGTATTCGAGTAGATGGCTTTTTATAGATTTTCCACAGATTTGTTCAAATAAGAATAAGTGAATTGCACACATTTAATATGTTTTGATGTCTAATTTATGTTACTCGGTTTTCTGTTCCATGATGTTCTTTTTAGCTCAGTTATGCCTCCATAACTCCATAACTTAATACAGGGTGGCAACTAAACCGAGGAATAACCGGGAATTTGAAAGGAAATTTAAACTACGTCTTACAGGTAGGTACAGAAGGTAAAACGAAAATCTAAAATTGCAACTGTCACGAGAAGATGTTAGATTTTGAGCACTTACAGCTTTGTTATTTATAGACGAAATAAAAAACCAAATACACCAATCGATGGGAAATAGCTCTATGAATCTACTGGAAAAAATACTTTTCCAATTTTCCATAAACAAACTTTTAAAAAATGTGCCAATAAAAAGTGATATTGTTATCACTGTTTTCAGGAGATAAACGTTTTCCCTAACCCAGACGTCATAATCGAGTACCACTTGATTGCGCATCGCTCTGCTTGAACTTGTAAAATTATAAAGGAGCGCAGCTGTCACGCCTTCACTCATTTTCGCATCGAATGAGGTGAGCTCATACCCAGCCAACAATTTTGTTCACATTGCTGACATTAGTAAAAAACGATCTTGTGGAATCAACTTTACAGCATAAATTGACGGAACAATCATGGAACGATGATGTTCTGGGATTCCGCGAATCTCTTGCGTCATAGACAAATCAAAACTAACTGAATTGCCGAAGTCGGACAAGTATGCACGATGAGGATTATGCTGTGAAGGGCTGACATCCTGTGCTATGTCCACGTAGTACAATGACATAAAACGAGTTTGAGGGTTTAGCTCAAGAAGCTTCTCAAAGTTTTCGATTACCAGTGGATTCATAACTTCACAACGGGTGAGAAGCCTGAGGGACCATTCCGAAAACCGATCAGAGAGTGGCAGCATGCCCGCTAACACTTCGAGACTCATCGTATGAGTCGAGTGCATGCATCCTAACGCTATACGAAGACAGTGATACTGGATCCGTTCCAGTTTGATGATGTGCGTTTTAGCCGCCGACTGAAAGCAAAACTACCGTACACTAAAACCGATCAAATTGTTGTCCGGTACAACGTTAGAAGATCTAGAGGATGGGCTCCCCACCTTATTCCGGTAATTGTGCGGAGAAAATTGATCCTTTGTTGACATTTTCATCTCAGATACTCAATATGGGATCTCCAGGTGCATTTGGAATCGAACCCGACCCCAAGATATTTGAAAGACATCGAATGAGTGATCGGCTTACCCAAAAGTTGAAGCTTCGGTTGTGCTGGGCTATGCTTCCTAGAAAAAAACGACCAATTCAGTTTGCTTCGTGGAAAATTCGATACCTAGCTGGATAGCCCAAGTAGACAAATTGTCAAAGGTATCCTGTAAGGGTCCTTGCAGGTCGACCCCTTTGGGCCCTGTCATCGACACTACACCGTCATCTACAAGTTGTCTCAACGTGCGATTGTCACTTGGTCAATTGTCGCTAACTTGAAAGTACTCATTAATGAGTAAAAAAAGACCCATTTTGAAGAAAAGTGGCTTAACTCATTAATGATTAAACAATTTTACCCATTAATTAGTATCTGTTACCCATTAATGATTAACAATTACTCATTAATGGGTAACAGATACTCATTAATGGGTAAAAAATTTACTCATTTAATGAGTTAAGCCACTTTTCTTCAAAATGGGTCTTTTTCAACCATTAATGGGTACTTTCAAGTTAGCGTGTAATACTACTACTAATGCTGATAAATCAAAACACACTAATACCTGCCTTTAGAAGTAACTTTCATAAAGACCTGACTTTAGAATTAACTTTCATAAAAGTGAGAACTAAGTATAAAATTGGTGTAGAGGACACAAACCTTTTTTGAACTTAAACTTTTTTTTCCGTGCTGGGTATTTTTATCACTGCGACCAGTACTTAAATCTATTGGTATATATTCCCCGTTTTAATATTGCTCTATCAGCATGTCGTATCACCATTTTATGAAGCGACCGACATAGACTGACCGAAAGCATTTTCCCAGTCAGGTATTACATTTCGAATTAATTGCACTACTTGGCTGGGAACTGAATTCCAAATATCGAAGGGTTCAGTCAGCCCCTTATCCAGAAAAATACGCCTCTTATTGAAGATTGCTGTACAAGAGCATAGCAGGTGTTCAGAGTGTTCTTTTTCTATGCCACATAATCGGCACATGTCCTCTTGAAGTTTTCTTATTTGCTTCGAGTGATATTTACATGGACAGTGTCCTGTTATTGAACCAGTGTACATACTAAGATCTTTCTTTGATGGTTTAAGAATTTTGCTAGTCATTGAAATGCTCGGATTAATAAACCGTTTCCACTTTAATTTGTTTCCCCATTTCTTGAACTCCATTCTAAGAGAGCAAGCAGAAACTCCACAATTTTGTTCTGGTCCTATAAATTGTTGAGATGATCCAAGCCTAGCTAGTGTGTCGGCTTTCCCATTCCCTTGAATTCCACAGTGACCAGAAACCCAAAATAGGTTCACTTGGTTTTGGCAGGCCAATTTTCGGAGTGACATTGCACATTCCCATACAAGTTTAGAATTACATGTTGCTGATTTCAAAGCATTTAGTGCTGCTTGGCTATCAGACATAATGCAGATATTCGAATGTCTATAATTTCTACACAAGCAGATTTTAGAACATTCAAGGATTGCTTGGACTTCTGCTTGGAACACGGTAGGCCAGTAGCCCCATAGATATTGAGATATTTATACCTAGATCTGTTACCCCTGCTCCTACACGATTGTCCAATCTAGAGCCGTCTGTATAAAAGACAATTGATCCTGGACAAATATTTGGTCCCCCATTGGCCCACAAATCGCGATCCGCATCTGCTACATTGTAAAGACGTTCCAAGTGATATTTTTTCTTCATTCAATCTTTATTTTGTATCGCAAGAGAATCAATATTGAACATTTTTAGGATGCTCATATGTGCTCTAAGATCACCTTCAAGGAAGTTCTGTGACCATCGGATCCTTAATGTACTCCTTTCGTCTTCTAATTGAATGAATTGATGCAACGGAAGCAGATAAAGTAGAGCATCTAGTGCCATACTTGGTGTGCTGCTCATTGCACCAGTTATTGAGATAGTAACTAGCCTTTGCAGCCTCCCCAGCTTCTTCTGAGCTGATTTTTTATGGTTTTAGGCCACCAAACCAATGATGCAAAGGTTATTCTGGGTCTTACAATCGTCAAATAAATCCAGTGGACCATTTCAGGTTTTAGTCCCCATTTCCTACCAAATTTTTTTTTACTTATCCAAAGAGCATTTGTTGCCTTACTAATAACTTGCTCTAGATGCGAATTCCAATTTAGTTTGCTGTCAAGAGTAACTCCCAGATACTTGACTGTGTTTGAAAGTTCTAAAATTGATTCCTTTCAGTTTAATACTATTTATGGACATTTTTTTTTTATTCGTGTGAATGGTACAATGGTTGTTTTAGATGGATTAGTATTCAATCCTTCGCTAGTGCGCCACGATGAAACATAATTTAAAGTAATTTGCATTCTACTTGAAATGACATAGTCATATTTTCCACGCACTAATATGACAATATCATCTACTAAGCCAATAATCTCGAAGCCCTGTGCTTCTAATTTTTTGAGAAGGTCATCAACTATTAAAGACCACAGTAGAGGTAAGAGAACACCTCCT